GGCGCCATCCTGACGACCATGCTTGCCACTGCGTGCAACTTCTCTAGTAAGTCTGTGGGAATGCTTGTATCACATTTTCCAAGTTTGTACCTTTTTATTAATATTACTCCAGTTTTCCTCTTTCTTATCTTTGTTCTTGAACATTTTCATTGCCCTCTTCACCTTTTCCATATTCTGGGTTTACAGGCTGCTGCTGGATCTGCGCTTATGTAGTCATCTGTTCAGTTGATACAAGATTGAACAGATAAGACCAGTTGAATATTAAACCTGTATAATCATAGTTGTGCTTGGGTTTATTTTCTAAGTGACTGATGTACAGGATTAATATTCAAGATTGGCTTGTCCTATGTCGTATTTTGTTACATATCACGGTTTGTCTTTAAACTTTACTACTTTTTTAACACGTGTGATGCTTTATTTTGTTCTACTGACCTCTTCTGCTCCGTCTGCGATCTTGGGTGCCTGGTCTACAGCCAACACTTCCCTAACCAACATCCTTACCCTCACCCACTCTCCCTAATTTCTACTGCCTAATGCTAATTTATCATTCTCCTTTTAACCTTTTATCTAATCTTTTCCTAATACTTACGATACTGTATCTTATGCTCTTCCTGCATTATGTTTACTTTCACATCCTTAACAACTGTCTTTAATAACTGTATCAAGACTGATTCACATTTCAAAACACTTATTATTTTATCCTCCACCTTCCTTCCTATATCTCTCTTCCTTCCTACTCCCTATCCTCCTGTTCCTGTCCGAGCCCTTACCGTTGGTTGCCGTGTTGCAGGGTGCGATCCTGACGACAATGCTGGCGACTCGCAACTTCTCCAGTAAGTACGAAGCACAGGGTAAGTGGGCAACCCATCTAGGCGGCAGTGACACCCTACCCATCCCCCAGACTGACTGGCTCTTGCTTCTCCTTCCCCAGTATAGCTCTTAAGCCAAGCCCAGTTCAAGATAGTGCTTGGCATATTTGTCATAAAATTATTAGAATCATAGCACTGTGTTTGGAATGGGATATATAAAAAATGTATAGTTCATTTATATAAACTGACATTATTTCTGCAGTAATTATAGTCAGATTTAAATATTCAGCATGATATTACATGTAATTTACTTCTGCATTATTGTCATGGGCTACATAACTTAATGCTAAACTGGTTAGAAGGAGGAACTGGGGCCAATGGTATGAGCACTCCTTATATCAGATTTTTGCACTCCTTTGGGTCATGATCCTTGTAAAACTATGAATTATCAGTGTATTTACCCTAATAGCTTGTGGTCATTCTACTCATGGCCTCTACAGTAGAATATAGACAGAAACCCCTATGTTGATGCCTTGAATACAGTGCTAACTCAGGCACAATGAACAATCTTTCAGATTTGCAATAATGATGCACTATTATGATGGGACATTGCAGAGGCAAGCCTGAAAAAATAGGACAGCATATATTAATGTTTTATTCTTATTATATAGAATCTAGCTAATATCTAGTGCAGTCTCTCCAAAAAGGTGATTCAAAAAAGATGGGGATGAGACATTATTTGCATCATTTGTCAACATCAAAATTTGTACAGAACAAATAAATATAAATGAAAGTCACATTTGAGTGTGTTTCCTAGATTGTTAAAATATACTTGGTGTAGTCTCCAAGGCAATAAGAAGTGTCGTCAGGGATAATATGTAAGCATAACACACTCATACACTAATAAAAAGAAAGTCTGCTCCACAGTAATGGCTTGGAGATTGAAAGTTGGTTTTGCACATTAAAGACACTGACTAAGGAGAAGTTCATAGTTGAAAATTTTAAAGTATGTAGATTATGTTGAGGGGACTGATTGATGTAGTGGGTATAGTGTATTAACACTTTATTCACATGAACATAAATAGAAAATACATGTACAAAGTAATTTTGAGCGAGAGCAGTGAAATTGATAAAGGAGAAACAAAGTTTGGAGGAGGAATAAAGTAAGTGAATATATATATGTGAAGGAAATTTCATATAGTGAAATTTGTGGAGATTTTGAATAAGCAGTTTTCATGTGGTACTTTGAGTGTATATTGAAGTTAAAGATATAATAATCTTATTTTTTTTTAATTTATTATAAGTAATATAACTAAAGAATGAATATTTTGCTTATACAAATTGTTAGCCAAACTAGAGAAAGGCTTAAACACTCGTTAATGCAATTCTTGTAACGAAATCATACTGAACAGGAAGTAGCGACTCGCATGTGTGCCACTATGATAATACGATGAAGACTGGAAGTTAAACATGATTATGTTATCAGTGTGACTACACTGATAGGGAAATCTTACATAATACACTACCCTATTACAGTGGCATCCTCTCGTATTACTTAACTACAAATTTAAGTGCGACTAACTTCATGGAATACTCTTATTTGAGTGTAGTTCATATAGTCTTCACTGGAATACAAAAAGTCCTCCTTTACTCCATGCACATTTTTAATTACTGCACTGCATTGTCTTGTGTGTATGCTGTCTGCCATGTTCCACATCATATGGCAAAGAACAAAGAAAACCTAAAATTCTTGTGACAAACTATATATAATGGCTAAAAATCAGTCATTTGACTAGGGGCCTTTTTCTAAAATAAGTTAATGTGAATTTTAAATATAAATTCACCAGTAAACAGTGTGTGTGCCATTTCCCTAAATATTATATACTATACTAATGGTACATATATGAACGTTTACTTTGAACTTTTAAAGCATCCCATGAAAAAAAAAAAACAGTGTATACTGTTCTACATTGATTAGATCAGATTCATTGAATTAATTTTACATTTCTTTTGTTCACAAAAAATTTCCTCAAAATAATTCAGAAATTTTGTAAAGTTGATAATAACAATTAATTATTTACCATACAACATCATGAATTCACATACACTATTTTGTATCCTGCTCTATTTCTAAATTAAATAATTTAATTTAGAATTTTAAAACTCACCTTCTCTTAAATATTTTATTAAAATAATGTACAGATTTTGATTTATTTTTTTTTTTTGGCAATAACATTACACATGCATATATATTAAAATATATATACCTCACCCATTGCCATTTTTTGAGCAATTTTCTTTGTTCATGTGTGTGTGTAGTCATAGTTTAACCAGTTGATTGATGTTGTTGTGTAGATAAAACTGTGTAGTGTAAAACATAAACTTTATGGGTTGTATTTTCAAGTTTGTGTGTATTACTTAAATATTCGTAGCAGTTTTCTTAAAGTTCAACCTTTGTAAATAATGGAGTACCAGGTAAAGAAATAATAGATAATACTTGGTATAATATACTCTCATTTAAAGTTTTTATTTTATTTTTTAAAAGATAATACTTTTCTTAACCTCCCTTAACTTAAAAATTATATCTATATATTTATATATATACTGTGTTCAGTGTATTATTCCTTCACATGTTTTTTGTGGTATCTCTATGTTATAAAGCTGGTGTACATTTGTACATGGGACTGGATGGTCACATGCACACATGGATGTAAACTTGTACATGGGACTGGATGGCCACATGTACATACTGTGAGTCTTGTTGTGAGTTTCTACATGGATCACCTTAGATGAGGAGGCAAACACACTCATATGCAAGGTGTTCATAGGCTTTCATGGTAAACTGTGCACTGTATGATCATAGTAGAGGAGGTGAACACACTCAAATGTAAGGTGCTCTTCTCTCATGTTAAGTTGTGCACTATATGATCATAGAAGAAAAGTTGAACATGTTAAGATGCAAGATGCTTACAGGCTCTCATGTTACATTGTGCACTATATGAATATAGAAGAGGTGAACACTCTCAAATGCAAGGTGCTGGAATAGGCTCCCATGTTACATTGTTCACTATATGAACATAGAAGAGGAGGTAACACTCAAATGCAAGGTGCTTACAGGCTCCCATGTTACATTGTTCACTATGTGAACATAGAAGAGGAGGTGACACTCAAATGCAAGGTACTTACAAGCTCCCATGTTACATTGTGCACTATGGTCATAGTTTTTGTTCATTACTCTAACATAAGTTTCTTGGAAGTGCAACCCTTGTTAGTACAGTGCTGACACAGAATTTTTTATATGGTTTTAAGTCATTCTGAAATAATTTATATTAATGAGGCAGTTACATTTATTTACATTCTTTAATTGTAGGATTTGTATATTTTGTTTTACTCAAACAGTGTGCAAATTATTGTGCAGGAAAATTTGTCAAGTTAAAAATAAATTCCAGTGAAATTTCTCTTTATATTTTTTATTATATTAGCATAAGAGGATACTTTTAATGGGAACACATAATGACCCTCGTTATTGAGAAGAGTGCTAAGGTGTCGACCATGAGTGAGTGCAAGTGCCACTAACCCAAGGGTATCACTGCAGTCCAGGAAGGAATGCCCACTTTATCTTCAAAATTTGTTGTTTGAGTGTATCAGATGTACCAATGGCATTAGCTTTTAGACTTTTATTGCTTTGAAATATTTGCCACTGAAGTGGTGTCTATGGTTTTATTATTTAAGTGACTTATCATTAATTCATGGTACAGTATTATATGATTTTTTTTAAATTGGTGAATATATAAAAAAGTGATCAAAAGGGAAAAAATATTTAGTTTTATAAAAATATAGACTCCGGTTAGTCACTGAGCAGAATTATGTGCAAGTATACAAAAAGCAGTTGCAAATATAGGTTGGTATTCAAATAGTATCAAAATATGGTTAAGCTAAGAAAAAAATACATTGTACTGCCATATTTTGTATTTATTTTTGAGACTTAATACATATGAATTTGGAATACAAGCTTTTCACTGCTTGTAATAAAAGATTAGACTTCAGAGTATTAACATACTCTACTATATATTTGCTTATTATATCCTACTGCTCTTACTATAGATTAGTTGCAATTCTCTACTGTACTATACATGTTTTGGCTAACACAATAAAAAATATAAATATTGATATATTTTGCCTGTAAAGCCTGTGATAAATGAGTGACTGATTTTGTGGGGTTTTCTACCTCACCAACCAGGCCTTTGTCCACACTTCCTTGATGTGCCTGGTCAACCATTCTGTTGCTGTCATCAGCTCACTGGCCCATAGAGCCATCTCAGTCTTGTCAGTCAGGCACCTGGTAGTAATCTGGTTTCTTCATGAACATTTTAACATTTGTTTTGGCAATATTTCTGATTATCTGTTTGTAACATGTAGAAGAGACTAATGCAATAGATGCCAACACAGTTTTCTTATTATGCATATGGAGCCCCAGCTTTTCAGTGGATTTGTTTCATATCTCTCACTCCTGTAGTTTTGGTAGTGTATACTTATTTATTATTTTATTATCACACTGGCCGATTCCCACCAAGGCAGGGTGGCCCGAAAAAGAAAAACTTTCACCATCATTCACTCCATCACTGTCTTGCCAGAAGGGTGCTTTACACTACAGTTTTTAAACTGCAACATTAACACCCCTCCTTCAGAGTGCAGGCACTGTACTTCCCATCTCCAGGACTCAACTCCGGCCTGCCGGTTTCCCTGAACCCCTTCATAAATGTTACTTTGCTCACACTCCAACAGCACGTCAAGTATTAAAAACCATTTGTCTCCATTTACTCCTATCAAACACGCTCACGCATGCTTGCTGGAAGTTCAAGCCCCTCGCACACAAAACCTCCTTTACCCCCTCCCTCCAACCTTTCCTAGGCCGACCCCTACCCCGCCTTCCTTCCACTACAGATTGATACACTCTTGAAGTCACTCTG